AAATCAATGAAGAAAATCATATCAATTTTTGCAGATTTTATTACTTGGATTATCTGTAATTGTACTTGGATATATGATTTGTGGAAACATATTTTGGGCTTACAAAAATTTTCATAAGGTTTATGCTTTTTTTTAAGAAAATATTGGTCGAAAGAATTTTTAAATGGAATAAAAAGAAAACAACAAGACAAAAAGTTGTTAAATTCGGCCGAACATGCTATACCCTCCATCATAGGTATTCTATATTCACATGAGTGTATAAAGGTGTGATCAGATAGTACACCATACAAATTTAATGATGGGCAGCACTGACAATTTAGCATATTTAGTTTAGCACCAAAAAAACGTGATCTAGTTCCTAACATATTTTTTAGCATTTTATAGTAAATCGACATCGAATATACATATGTATAATAGATTTTTAAAAAATACTGATATCATTATTAACTGTAAGCTATGTTCATTATACCCTTCACCATACTGTGGTACAGGGTATTATGTCTTTGTGCATATGTTTGTAACCAGCAAAAGGAAACGAGATAGACCCATAGTTCCATTTGAGAATATGCATAGAATCACTTTCTGAGTCGATTTATTCAAGTCCGTCACTCCGTCTTTCCATGTTAAATTGTAAACAAAGTACAGGTCCCATTTATGATCCGAATTGGATGACATTTGGCACAGCTCATTTGTTTGGCCCAAGGACGAACCCTATTGAAATTGGGAAAAATCGGTACAGATTTAGATATAGCTCCCACATATATTTTCGTCCGATTTAAAGTAAATGGTGCACCAAAGACCCTATAAATCTGTCGATTTGCACGAAATTTGGTATAACGTACTGGATTTAGCCTAAAATGATATCTGCCAAGTTTCGTGAAAATCGGACCAAATATCGATATAGCTCCCATATATAGTTTCTTCCGATTTAAGGTAAATGGTGCACCAAAGTCCCTATATATCTTTCGATTTGCACCAAATTTGGCATAACGTACTGAGTTGAGCCTAGAGTGACGTCTGCCATGTTTCGTGAAAATCGGACCAGATTTAGATATAGCTGTCATATATATTTTCGTCCGATTTAATGTAAATGGTGCACCAAAGTCCACATATATCTTTCGATTTGCACGAAATTTGGCAGAGCGTTCTGAATTTAGTCCAGAATGATGTGTGCCGAGTTTCGTGAAGATCGGCCCAGATTTAGATATAGGTCCCTTATATTATAGATTGATTTTAAGTAATTGACGCACCAAAGAACCAATATATGGCTGATAGGAACAAAACGTACAGAAATTAGTATAACCTAACCTGCAACAAGCTTCGTTGAAATCGGTTCATATTTTGATATGGCTTCCATATATATTTTCGCCCGATTTTAATTAAATTGGGCATCAAACTCCCCATGTTAGTCAGATTGACATCAAATTTTGCACAACGTACAAAATTGAGCATGGAATTACGTAGTTGTGTTTTCTAGAAGTACATACATAGCCCAACGCATGACCTATTGATATTTGTTTGAAGTCGATTTACATACTTTTGTCCCATTGTAACAAACGAATGACATGTTCATGGGTAGATCTAGGTCGTTTCACATTTAGATAAATATCACATATTTTATTTCATACAATTTCAGGTTAATAGTCCTGTTTAATATAACCATTGTGGCGAAGGGTATAATATAGTCGGCCCCGTCCGACTTTACTACTTTCCTTACTGGGTTTTAAAAATTATTTAGCCCTTTTACCTGGTACTTTTTAAAATTTTTTGGCACCTTCTAGCCCTTTTTTCAAGAAAATCTAGCACCCTTTATGGATAAAGTGATATTCAAAATGTAGTATTATTTAATGTACTTACATAAATCGGAGTGGTACTTAAATCACACTAACCACAATATTGTAGTTATTAATGACCTAAATCCTTTTGGCACTCGTTGAGTAATAAAATTTTGACAGTTTTCACGAACACAATGACTTTTGTAATAACGCAATACACGTTCGCCAATATTAAAAAACCAGTAAGGGAAGTAGTTAAGTAGGACTGGGCCGACTATATGATACCTATATATCCTAACAGACGTCGCGTCCTTGTTATATATATATATCTGAACCAATTTCAGGGAAACATTCAAGACTTAATTCAGTACGCTATGCCAAAATTCGTGCAAACGAAAATATATATGCCGAATTTCAGACGTGCCAAATTTCATCCAATTCGAATCATAAATGCGACCTGTACTTTGTTCACAATTTAACATGGACAGACGGACGGACATGCATAAATCGACTCAGAAAGTGATTCTATGCATATTCTCAAAAGGAACCATGGGTCTATCTCGATTATTTTAGCATGTTATAAACATATGCACAAAGACATAATACCCTGCACCACAGTGTAGTGAAGGGTATAAAAAACAGAAAACAATCAGTCCCCTTCCATAGTCTGCGAAAAAGGTTACAACGCTTTATTCATTTTTAATTTGAACATGTCAAAATGAAAAACCTCTACTTGAATAAATTTAGCCGTTAAATTACTTGGCATATTTTTTATTACATTTTTTTAACAAAACACAAAAAATAATGATTTAAAGAATCATACCATATGCACATATTTTAAGAGTGGTTGTCGCTTCTGCTGTAGTTGTTATTTTTATTCTGTCGTAAATATCCTTTTTCCTTTGCCATTGTTGTAATGTCTCGACATAAATAATTTACATATTGTATGGAGTATGGACACAAATAAAAATAATACTCAAACATATGTGCATAATATTAATAGACATACAAATGTGTATCGATGGGCAAAATATATTTAAAGGTTTGTATTTGTAGAACATAGAAGTAGTGGGAAACAGCTAAAATGATTGTTCGGCAGATAAAATAGAGAAACATTTCTTTATGACTGTAGACCCAACTCAATATAAAAATGTCAGACTTTAAGGACAGCTGACAGAAGGGAATTTAAATACTAGAGTCAAGTAAAGGCTTTACATAGATCTTAGAGAACTTCTGATAACCTATACCAACAGAAAATCTTACAACTTTGAAAATGAAAATTTTATATACTCTCTGTTTTTTTGTACAGAACAGTTTGTTTATTCGACATACCCTCACGTTTTATTAAATCGCCATGTATGGCGTATTTTGCCGAAATTTAATTTGGGGTTTGGTGTTTCGACATCCATTATCCCTTTCCATTCATTCCATGTGGAAATGGAATCAAATGAAGTAATTTTTTTGTGTCATTTAGTCGAGGATCTGATTACAACATTTTGCACAAAGTTGTCTTTTGTCTGCAGGCAGGTCAAGTTCGAAGATGGGATATATCGGTCCACGTTTAGGCATAGCTCCCATATAAGGGTACCCCCCAATTTTCGGTATTTTGAGGTTCCTGAGCGTGTTTTTCAACCGAATTCGCTGAAATTTGGTACTTTGAGCTCTTATTGGGAAGCAAATCTCCCTACTAAAAATTATAAATATAGGTCAATTTTTTCTGGTACCCCCCATATAACGGTACCCCCAATTTTCGGTATTTTAAGGTTCTTGAGCGCGGTTTTCAACCAAATTCGCTGAAATTTGGTACTTTGAGCTCTTGTTGGGAAGCAAATCTCCCTACTAAAAATTATAAATATAGGTCAATTTTTTCTGGTACCCCCCATATAACGGTACCCCCAATTTTCGGAATTTTAAGGTTCTTGAGCGCGGTTTTCAACCGAATTCGCTGAAATTTGGTATATAGGGTTCTTATTGGGTACCAAATTTACCCACTAAAAATTATAAATATAGGTCCACTTTTTCTGGTAGCCCCCATATAAAGGTTCCTCCCAATTTCCAGTTTTTGGGGGTTTTGACCGGATTTTTTTCACCGATTTGGCTGTAATATTATGAGTCCCTAATAGGTACCAAATCTCCCCACAAAAATTATGAATATAGGTACCCCCAATTTTCGGTATTTTGGGGTTCTTGAGCGCGTTTTTGTAGCGAATGCGTTGCAATTCGGTATTTTGTAGTCGTATATGGTAACAAATCTGTCCACCAAAAATTTATTAATATTCACCGCCTTTTTGGGGTAGTCCCCATATAACCCCCTTTTTATACCCTCCACCAAGTTTGGAGGGTATATTAATTTTGTCATTCCGTTTGTAACTCATCGAAATATTCATTTTCGACCCTATAAAGTATATATATTCTTGATCAGGGTAAAATTTTAAGACGATCTAGCCATGTCCGTCCGGCCATTTTTCGGTATTTTGGGGTTCTTCAACGTGTTTTTCTGCCGAATGCGTTGGAATTCGGTATTTTTGTAGTCGTATATGGTAACAAACCTCCCCACAAAAAATTATTAATATTCTCCCCTTTTTCTTATTCGTTATCAAATTCCCATGTAATGTAATTTATGTAAATCCTCGAAAATAAAGATAGGTCATACACTTTTCTTTTGAAAGGAGACGTAATATTATGGTAAAATGGTACCTACATATGTGGTACTGCAATGCGATATCTTTGTCGCGTAAACATCCAATTATGTAGAACGCGACCCATGCACGTGTCTTATGTTTACAGGTAGAACATATCGGTTTTATAATTTTTAAAAGATAACATCACAAATAATATGTAAACAACCCAATTAGAACCTATAATTGAAGCAGGTAAAAGGGTTTCCTTTATAAGAACAGTTGTTTTGTTTTTACGAAAATTTTAAATTTTATGACATTGTTTGTTTCAAAAAGGTCAAACTACCTGTCTGCGTTAGAGGTTCATAACAGTTAGCTTCAATTAATAACAAGTCCCCTAACCCCAGTAAATTTAGGTAGGTATTATAAATAATAAGCTCTAGGTATGCAAAAATTACGTACATATATAAATTGTGAGTACTCTGTTTTAAAATCAGTACATTATTGTTACTTGAAGAGTGTGTGTGCACATTTCGTAAAAAAATTAATAATTGAAATATTATAATTTAATAAGTGTTTTAAATTCGTGTACATATAAATAATAAAGATGCCTAGACTACGCAAGCAATCAGTACAACAGCGCCAACGATTAATTGCGATGCGAGTCAGCAACTACCGCGAAGAAAACCCCTCGGACATCCTTAGGAACGCACGTTCTTTATCAACCAGAAGACGGAATGCAGAATATCGCGAAGAAGAGCGTGAACGGGATCGCATCCAGCACCAAACAAGGAGGAGATCTTCATACAATCGAAGAATAGAGCAGCTACGTAATACAGCACAGCATTTTACTCGTCGACAGGATGATGCATTAAGATTAGCCGAACAGGAGAGAAATACGATTGAGCACTCGCTTCGTCGTCAAGATGATGCGTACAGAATAGCCGAACAAGAACGAAACACGCAGCAGCACACGGTTCGTCGTCAGGATGTTACGTACCGCTTGGCGGAACAGGAGCGAGATACGCGTCTTCACTCGATTCGTCGTCAAGATGATGTATACAGATTGGCCGAACAACAGCGAAACACGCAGCAGCACACGGTTCGTCGTCAGGATGTTACGTACCGCTTGGCGGAAGGAGCGAGATACGCGTCTTCACTCGCTTCGTCGTCAAGATGATGCATACAGATTGGCCGAACAAGAGCGAAACACGCAGCAACACGCTATTCGTCGTCAGGATGTTACGTACCGCTTGGCGGAACAGGAGCGAGATACACATCATCACTCGCTTCGTCGTCAGGATGATGCATACCGATTGGCCGAACAAGAGCGGAATACGATTGAACATTCGCTTCGTCGACAGGATGATGCTTACAGGATGGCCGAACAGGAGCGAAATACGGTTCAACGTTCGCTTCGTAGACAGGAATTGGAATATCGATTGGTCGAACAGCAGCGAGATACGCTTCAGCATTCGCTTCGTCGTCAGGATGCAACATATCGATCAATGGAACAGGAGAGAAACACGCGTGAACATATAGCTAGGAGGTCTGATTTATCATATCGCATATCCGAACAACGCCGAAATACGCAACAACACCGTGAAACCAGGAATTCTGCTCGTATTCAGTTGAACCAACTGAGGCTGATTAGGAACTGCCGCGTACGTATTCACCGAATGGATCCCATTAACCGTGAAAACCAAAATGCACGCCAAGCTGAGAGGAACGCAATTAGGAGACGAAACATTTCCCCGGAATCTCGAATGGAATTGCTACAAATGGATTGTGCAAGACACGAATCACGATTATTCGGTGAGTTTTTTAAAGTTATTAGAAATGGACCGACGGAAATTTGTATATGTTGTATTATGGTTTACATTATGGTATACATAATACGTTTTTAGACATGTCGGGATAGGTCCACTTTTTGGAATGCTCCCTTTATTTTCATTTCTAGTACCTGTCAGTATAACTATGGTGGAGGGTATCCAAAGTTCGGCCCGGCGAACTTAACGCTTTTTCACTTGTTTATATTAAAATAGTTATCTGATTTGTTCCGCGTTTTGTGTTTGGTTCTAAGACTCTGTTGTAATCATTTCACCTGCGGAGGATAGCGAGATAAAAAATTAGAACGTAAGGTTCGATAATGAACTATGGCCGCATTTAGACCAGGTCCCTGTGTGGAGGTTTCAGAAGGAGTGGACTGATATTCACCATCTTCGAATTAATAATAATAAGTTATCTATTAACAATTTCTGAAATTTGTATTATGGTTTATGATGAGATATATTGGCAGCTGGTTGAGCTTCTAGTTTATCCGGCTCGCTCAGGACCCAATATTTGCGTAGCAACGTAAATAAAAAGAAAAAAAAAATAAAAACAAATTGGGGTTTAAAAATTTAGGTCAATATTGACTTTGGGTTTTTATTGAATGTTTATAATATTATTGGAAATAATATTTTACTTTAGTTGTTGTGGTGTGTGGACATAATCCAACAAGCCAACGAATTAACAATAGTTACAATGTAACTAGCGTATATGCTGCAAAGCGGTGCTAAAACTCGTTAGAATTTGACAGTCCTTCTAGCACAAAGCTGTACTTAAGGGTAGTAACAAATTCTAACGTAATTTGTCTACGTACAACAATTAGTTAAAAATTAATTGGATAGTAATCCCACGAAATATATGTTTTGAAATTAAACACATATAATAACACATTTTTTAAATTTGGTGACTTTTTGTACCACATAGAATTATATTTATTATAAAGTCACCAAATTTAAAAAAAACTGTGTCATTATATATACTGTTGTTTGATAATATTACCTTTGCTACAGGGTTTGATGCTTTTTGGCCGTGAACCAATGAACGAGTGTAATGTAATGTAAAAGCTATGATGTCACAAAGCGGCGCTTTGACAAAGTTACGCGTTAGATTTTGCTACTGCCCTTTGTCTTAAGTACGAAATACTCAAAGACGTATATAAAGGTAGTGAACAAGATCTAACGATGGTGTACAATTTACTTTAATTCAATAGGAATTATATTTCAAATTAATCATTGCCGCCCGCGTTGCAACATCTTGATATGTTGCAAAATTAATGTAGTTAATGTTTGGTAAATTCGCTTTTTTCGTTTTCTTGTTTGTTTTAAACATTTTTTCTTTTTTCAAAAAACATATTAATGCTAAATTGTTTGCTCGACGAGCAGGATCGTGCAATGTCTCGTCAAGATCTGCTCCGTTGATTTTTTATAATCAAAAGTGTACAAGTTAGAATCTAAGATTATTGTTGAACCAGACGGACAACAATATAAATTTGCAACTACAACAACACAACGAGTATTCAGACGATACTTACGATTTGTTGACTGCAAATTAAAAAAACTTCAAAAACACACTTCAATTCAAAATTCAATATGACTCTTTCGGTCTTTTATTTATTATTTTAAACAATGTTTAAAATGGAATTCACTTTTCTTCGATCAGGCGATTCACAGTTGGTTTTCAATAAACTTCAAGAAGAAGAGTGGCGTTTTTTCTTCATGGTGGAGATGGGACCTCATCGATAAATTATTTATCGAGATCGATGAGGTCCATTTCTATTTCATCGTCCAATGGGTTGGGCAGATTCCCAATATGCCGGGGCCCTTGCACTGGTGAAACAGATAATGCGCCCGCAATTCTCTCTAGTACTTCCAAAAACCTATTCATCCCTTCGGGCTGTTGTAATATATTTGTGGTCATTGCATACTGTGTATTTGTTTGCTCTGGAGCTTGTGTGTTGATTTCATCTTTTTGTGTTTGGTTCTGTTGTTCATTGGTTGATTTTTGTTGGGGATTTTCAGTTTGTTTCTGGCTAGTCTTCTTCGTTTTGGCTGGTGTGGCTTGTCGTTGCTTTTTTTGTTGCTGGAATTTCTTTGCTCGCTCCTCTTGCTCCTTTGCTTTCCTTTGCAATCTTTTAGCCTCTTGATGGCGCCTTTTCGCCTCTTGTTGATATTGCCTTGCGGTGTTAAATGTTACGCCGGAGCCTGCAGAGTTGACTTGTGTTTGCCGGCCAATTAATAATTGTTGTTGCTGCTGCATTTGCGATTCGCTTTGGTTGGAATCTTGTTCCCGATACATGTGCACTAATTATGCTTGCACGAGTCCCTATTGCTGTTGTCATCGGACGGTGAAGCATGGTGTTGTGTCTTGCCCCACACATTATACAATTTCCTGTCCATATGCATCTTCGGACGAAATGATTTTGACCCAAACAATTTATGCAGTACTTGTGGGATAGTACTACATCCTCCCTCTGCTATACAGACATCATTCTAAATGTTGGACAAAATCTCAAATGTTGAATGCCAAAGCACACTCTGCATTTTTCAATCTGTCCCATGTTCATGATAGTACAACTGTAATATATATTAAAAGAAAATATTGCAAGAATGTGTGCCATTTAAGGCATGACATATATTAGTCAGAGTCATATCATTTTAAAAACACATATACAACTTTCTACTAATAACCACTGACTGGAAGTACACACAATTTAACAATTGGACGAGATATGATACCTGTAGTAGTTTTTACATCAACTACTCTTACGTCATCATCATGCCCTTCATATACTTTCAAAACTCGTCCCATCTTCCAGTCATTCGGTGGTAGAAGTTCATCTTTTATATCACTCGCTTCGTCGTCAAGATGATGCATACAGATTGGCCGAACAAGAGCGAAACACGCAGCAACACGCTATTCGTCGTCAGGATGTTACGTACCGCTTGGCGGAACAGGAGCGAGATACACATCATCACTCGCTTCGTCGTCAGGATGATGCATACCGATTGGCCGAACAAGAGCGGAATACGATTGAACATTCGCTTCGTCGACAGGATGATGCTTACAGGATGGCCGAACAGGAGCGAAATACGGTTCAACGTTCGCTTCGTAGACAGGAATTGGAATATCGATTGGTCGAACAGCAGCGAGATACGCTTCAGCATTCGCTTCGTCGTCAGGATGCAACATATCGATCAATGGAACAGGAGAGAAACACGCGTGAACATATAGCTAGGAGGTCTGATTTATCATATCGCATATCCGAACAACGCCGAAATACGCAACAACACCGTGAAACCAGGAATTCTGCTCGTATTCAGTTGAACCAACTGATTTGTTTCGCGTTTTGAGTTTGGTTCTAAGAATCTTTTGTAATCATTTCACCTGCGGAGGATAGAAAGATAAACAATTAGAACGTAAGGTTCGATAATGAACTATAGCCGCATTTAGATCTAGCCCCTATGTGGAGGTTTCAGAAGAAGTGGACCGATATTCTCCATCTTCGATTTTGAATTATCAATTAAAATTTTCTGAAATTTGTATTATGGTTTACATTATGGTATACATAATCCGTTTTTAGACATGTCGGTATAGGTCCACTTTTTGGTATGCTCCCTTTATTTTCATTTCTAGTACCTGTCAGTATATCCATGGTGGAGGGTATCCAAAGTTCGGCCCGGCCGAACTTAACGCTTTTTCACTTGTTTATACTAAAATAGTTATCTGATTTGTTCCGCGTTTTGAGTTTGGTTCTAAGACTCTGTTGTAATCATTTCACCTGCGGAGGATAGCGAGATAAAAAATTAGAACGTAAGGTTCGATAATGAACTATGGCCGCATAGACCAGGTCCCTGTGTGGAGGTTTCAGAAGGAGTGGACTGATATTCACCATCTTCGAATTAATAATAAGTTATCTATTAAAAATTTCTGAAATTTTTATTATGGTTTATGATGAGATATATTGGCAGCTGGTTGAGCTTCTAGGGGAACAAGAATAATACGTTGTAATTAATTGTTGTAAGCACATAATTTATCCGGCTCGCTCAGGACCCAATATTTGCGTAGCAACGTAAATAAAAAGAAAAAAATAAAAACAAATTGGGGTTTAAAAATTTAGGTCAATATTGACTTTGGGTTTTTATTGAATGTTTATAATATTATTGGAAATAATATTTTACTTTAGTTGTTGTGGTGTGTGGACGTAATCCAACAAGCCAACGAATTAACAATAGTTACAATGTAACTAGCGTATATGCTGCAAAGCGGCGCTAAAACTCGTTAGAATTTGACAGTCCTTCTAGCACAAAGCTGTAACACATTTTTTAAATTTGGTGACTTTTTGTACCACAT